GTGCATGTATGTGCTGTTTTTCTCACTTTAATAATCACAGGTTAATTTATCATTAATAAATGTTGTGCAAATTTCCCCCTATGGACTGAAAGCCTAACTTTAGCCTATGGAAGAAAGCTGGACAAATCGTATCGTCTGCACAAACTTCATGCTCGATTTTCCCATTTGTGCAGAGCAAGCAGTGCTCACATATCCTAACAGGAATCAGACACCAGGACAGCAGAGAGATGCTAGCGACACTTTGCCCAGTCCTCAACCAGCACAGCTCTCTGGACTCCATATGCAAAGCAACCTTTCATAGAAATAGAAAGGACGGGCAGCACAGCTGGTACAGGCTGCCTGGTGCCCTTTTGCCCGTCACCAGATGCTGTTCTGAAAACAGGTGAGCAGAGTCCTTAGTGTGAGCCATCAGAGCTACCTACACTTTTCTTCTCTGTGAGCCTTTATTCAAAGCCAAGTTTGTTGCTTACTAGCAAAATGCACACACAACTAGAGATGTTTACAAAAACGCATGCAGTAAATTATGTGATTTTTTAAAAGGAATATGCTATTTTTTCTTACTGCTTTTGAAAAATCCAGACACCCCACTCCACGCTCGAAAGTCCCGAGGCCAATAACCTGTAGAGTCATCAGTCTCACTGAGTCCCATACTCTGACATGGGGCTGCAAAGGCTGCGTGTAAAAGACATTGAACAGAAATGGTTACTGAACAGCTAAAGGTGGCTAATGAAGAATTAATCTTGCATCAAGCAGGTACTGACTGGGTTCACACAACACTTACTTATATTCAAGGGTTGAATTTGGTTTGTGCATGGGTAGTCAAGGAAACGTGGGCTGTCCAAACTGAGTGACAATAACAAGCCATAGTATGTTAATCAGTAACAACCTAACAACAAATTATCAGTCCTCTTCATGGGATGTTTGTGGTTAATAAACCATGACTTGTCATCACAGCTGGTTCAGACAGCTTGACACCCGATGTTTCAACAACAACCCATGGTTCAACAAAGACCTAAATTCAATCAATACTCAACTCTGAGGCAAGAGTTGTGTGAAGCCAGTCATTAAATTCTGTTGGAGTGAACATAACCAATTATTAACATGTGAATTAAATACTAACTGAAATTAAGACAAGACATACCCTGCATTTCAGTTCAACTTTAAAGACATCCTGGCACAATATACACTGCTATCCTATATATGTCTACTCAAAAGTAAGGCACACCAAGTTCATAGGGGCCTGAACTGAGGTAACTGGATGTAGGATTGCAACATTAAGAACTCATGTCCAACTATCGTCATACATTTGGGACAGATCGACAGAGGTGCACGGGCACATGAATATGAGCTGAAACTACTTAAAGAAGAAATTAAAAGAAGGTACAACAAAATGGAATACAATACATTTTAAGAGCAATTAAAGTAATTTGACTAAGACAACATACCGGAGAGGGTAGAGGAAACTTACACCTGAGTACCAAAAAATCAGGGCATTTGCTACATGAATACTTGTAATCAGTGGTGGGGATCCAGTGGGCCCACATATCCACAATGTGTTGGCCCCATGGACTCACCATGGCTTACATAACTCACAATGGGCTGTCATGCGGCATAGTGAGTCCCAGTGTCACTACTTCAAGTCATGTGCAGCATCACTCTTCTTCTTAACCCTCCTGTGTAGTCGTACCACCAATATCAACTCTGCAGATACAACCTGGCAATTTAATTTCATTTATTGTATTTCTATATCTCCCAATAGCCAAAGCTCTCTAGGTGGATCACAGCATTTAAGTGCCGCTCATAGCTTGGTTTTAAGAGCTCTGCTTGGTGATAAGCACGTTCCCTTCGCTGGGAGCTTTTTGCAAGAGCTGTTTTGCTAGGCCTTCCTTAGGCCAGTCCAAGTTTCCTTTTTCTTAAGCAGTAAGACCCCCAGCGTGGTGGATACTGTAGTGAGAGTCAGTTCTTCCTTCGGGGACATGAGAGGGAGGCTTGGCTAAGATACACTTTCCCTGCCTTTTGTAGGAAATGCACAATGCACAGTGCAAAATCAGGAGGTGTGCAGAAACACATTCCCCCTGCATAAGGCACTGGAGGTGAGCAGCAATAAACATGAAAGCAAAACCCTCCACAGGAGTTTCTAATTTCCAGAAACACAAGCCAATCCCCGAGTTGGCATCTTTGAAACTTACTCTTCCATCTTTATCCACTCCAGCTAGCTGTCCAGTTGCAATCCTGATTTTGTCTGGATGAACAGCGAGGCTAAAAGAAACCAGAGCAACATGGAAGTCACTGGACTGGGGGACGACATTCATACTTTTATGGAGGCCCCCACAATACCAATGTGGAAGAAGGAAGGGGGTACGGTGTGTGTGCTCCCGCGAGATGGCAGCTTCTCCTGAGCATCGCACTGCCCATGCACAGCCTGGACGACCATGTATCAGTTAAGAGGCAAAGCAGGAGATCCGCATGCTCCTCTATTGCTGCTGAGCCCCACAGTTACTGAACAGGGATAGCCAAGACTTTAAAAAATGCACCTCTTCCCACAAACGGCTGCTTGTAGGGATTTTAGCTGAACCTCATTGGCACCGTCAGGATCTCAAGTAGCTGAATGTATTTGGTTCAGTGTAGCAAGATTTTCTGGTGTGGCAGGCAAAAACCAGCCATCACCCAAGGCATGGGGAAGAATGAACACAGAAAACCTGGTACTGGCAGACTTCGTCTTACCCAGGTGGCTTTCCCCCCTCTGCTAATGCTTGCAGATTGTGGTGGTGGTAGGGAAGTCGTATGCACATCTAGCTTAGGAGAGGGAATATCTGGAACTATTGTATGAAGATAATTAAAAGGACCACTCCCATGGGAGAGGGAGAATACCTTAGTATGGCACTTTGAGTTCAGCAACAGAGAAGATGAATCCTGTCCCCCGATACAAATTCCCTAATAAACCAAATGATTTTATTCAAGATTTATACCTGACTTCATGATTTCTGGCAAAACAAGTGTATGAATAAATGGCAGAGATCAGAAATGAAAAATACCATGGAAATTGCCATAAAATATTAACAAGAGAACACTGAGAACAGCGTTTCGTCACATCATAACAACACCTGAAACATTAATTAAACCCACCATTTAACGCAATCCGTATGTCCCAAGTAGTGGCGCTGAGTCCGCTCTTCATAGTTAAACAGTACTACCACAGATGCTATGAAATATACTATTTCTCCAGTAGGTAGGAGGTAAACATTGGCTCGACAGTCCCTTCCACGATAACCATATCTTTTTTAGAAGAAGACAATGTCAAGGTTTTCACAAATCAGCAAGTATTTTGGAAGGGATCAGCATTTGCAAGGTTCGAACTGTGAAGATGCAGAGTGACAAGAAAGGGCAACTTCCCTTGTATGTTGCTTCTTCCCCCGGGAACTGCACAGCTGCACCTGTTTTCACCTGTGGCAATTTACTTAGCTTCTTTTGGTTACCATGAGAGCCACTTCACTCTGAATCCGAGGGTGGCTAAGGAGGAGGAAGCCTTCTAAGATGCATCCCCACATCAGTGTTGGAAATGCTCTCCCTAGACAGACTCACCTGCCACTTGTGCCAAAGCTTTTTGGCTGCACAAATGCTGCCTTTCACAGAGGCCATTTAAAGACCTCACAGCAAATTATACACAGTGTGAAGCAAGCTGATAGGGAGGCATTCCCCCCCCCCACCCCTTATTATACTGGAAGCCAGGGTCATCCTTTGAGAATCAAGAGAGATAAATGGAACTGGTCCTTCAGACAGTGCTTCATTAAACTATGCAATTTGCTAGTATAAAATTTCACGACAGCTTTACGGGGGAATGAGACCCAGAGGTGAAACCTGTCCAAGGCCACTAATGAAGGCTCCATGTTACCTCCAGGGCCACAAGAGGCACTCTCACTCCTGGGGAGCAAGTGGGAGAATGCTTTGCACCCAGGAACAACTTGTGGGTTTTCCCACAGGCAGCTGTGAGGATGGAATGCTAGGCAGGATGGCCCTTGGCCTGATCCAGCAGAGTTCTTCTTAGGTTCCCAATGTTCTTTTAACACCCTCCCATTCAGACTTCCTTTTATGGAAGTCTGATAACCTATTTTGTCTCTTATCGCAGATGCATTCTTCCTAAGTATTAGGCTCTAACCAGAGATTGTATTAGTTCGCCATGGAATCAGAAGTTGTATTATGCATATTGTTTTGTATTTTGCTATGCTGTTTGTATTGCACTATTGTCCTGTCATTTCATATGTGTTTCTACCTTTTCTATATGGCCCAGAAGACTGTGTAACAGGGACATAAACACTGCAGGGAGTGAAGGTAGCACGGGTGACAGACCTGCCGTGAGTAGGTATATTAATGAGTATAAAGTAAGAGACACTGAGACTACACAGGTAAGTACATGCGTAAAGCCATGTTAGCTTGTAAACCCCCAAATACGACTTCTTCATCAGGTGATGACAGTCACTGCACTACCTTAATCTCTTTTGTAGCCACGGGGCTGCATCAGAGAAGAACCCTTCCTAACTGTTCCATTCCTAAGAGGAAGTGTTTCAATGTCACTTGGCCTTTTAAAAGAAGCGTGTGAAAATCCCTAAACCTCCCACAAAGCAACAAGATAGGCACAAGCAACACCAGAATATTGCAACACTTTTCTGGGATTCTGGGGTGCATGTGTGCAGGGGGAACAGAGAGCATTTTTAAACTAGAGTCTGAAATAATTCTTGTTCAATAGAAACATTAAAAAGAGGCCCACAAAGATATGGCTATGATATGGCCAAGAGCTAACACACTGGTCCCCTGCTTCTGGCACATGGCAATTCCTTCTGGCACCGTTTTCATTTTTGGAGCTAACTGTACAGGCATTCTGGCTAACAATGGTTAGCATCAAGACCTAGGTTCCTTCCATGTTCAGCTCTGAAAATAAAAGGCCTGGAAGAATTTGTAAATGAATACAGAGAAGAAGAAGAAAAGTTAAAGTGCTTCTCATCTTCTAACACAGCCTATTTTATTTTGCAAGAATAATTTTAGTTAGCTTTCCATCCAAAATTCGGGTTGGGAGAAAAAAACAGTGCTATATTTTCAGTGATCCAGATCGGTAAAGGGCAAGGGAAGGGGTGTTAGAACAACTTGTTCCACTTGAAACACAATTTTACTTGAAAACATTGCTGGAAGCAGTATTCCAGAAGGCAAAAAATGAAATCCACTTTGTGTCCAGTAGCTGGAACAGCAAGCAAAAAATTTAGCTGCCTTCTACGCTCTGCAAATCACACTTGTACCAAAAAGTGGTACCAAGAACACTGTCCTCCCTATGATCCGGGTGGGTAAACTTGTTCTAGGAATTCCTGCTAGTATTGTTAGTCTACATTTGCATACATTTCAGTTAATACCACTGAGCTGAGTGTTGCAGATGTCCACTATGGGGTATTGCACACTATATATAATAAACTTTGAAAACATCATTGCTTCATCTGCTACCTCTGTTTGACATCAACCAAAACCTGGGTCCAGGATAGGGGTGTGTGAGAATTTTGCTTTTCCTTGCAAAACATGTGAGCACTACATCCCTGAAGTGCCAATTATGAGCATAAGCATCATGGGTTCACTGTAAAAGTAACATATTGCCAAATGGAGCAGGGGCCAAATTCCTTGGGTCCGTCTCGTTCCTGTTTCCCATTTTGAGAAAATTTGCTAGTTTGTGCAAATGTCTTTCTTGGACTGAACTGCACCACTTTATTCTATGGAGGAAAGTTCCACATCATGTGCTCAGTTTGCTCAAGCTCCCTCTTTGCATGGCACAAGCAATGAATGGGAATTGGGCATGAGGGCCGTGGTGAGATGATGCTTCAAGCCATTGCTTGCTTGCCCACCTGGCTCATAAATTCGAAGACTGCTTTGCCCTTCAGAAACTGGGCTTGTTTGCAGTCTGCACTGAACTTTCCTAGTCAGCCACCATGATAGTATTCATCATCTATATTTTGAATACAAATGCGCGCGCGCACACACACACACACACACACACTATGGCCATGGCAGACTTCTCAGCTGGCTAGGAAATACTGGCGCAAACTGCAAACAAGACCAATGTCTTTCACATTTGTGAGTCAGGAGCCAGGTTCTGACTGATGGGTGTCAAACAAATGTAGCATATTATATTCTTCTAAAAGTTTATCATCTTAATAAAGAACTAGTTATCTGTAATTCCAGCAGCTTACAACAGTTGAAAAGGTAGTATTTTTCCGTGTATAAGATGGTACTTTTTCTTTAAAATATTTACATAAAAATGGAGGGGCTTCTTATACATAGGGGCCCAAGAGGAGCACTGCAGGCACGCAGGGGGGGAGAGAGACGGGTGCGATCGCGGGTGCGATCGGGGGGAGGCGGGCATGAGCGCGATCGGGGGGAGGTGGGCACGATCGGTCGGGACTCTGCTGAGGGAGTGCGCGTGCGGGGAGGCGGTTGAAGTGTGTGCAGCAGCAGCTTGTTCGCTCGGAGATTGGTAAAAAAGTGGGGGGTGTCCTGTACATGGGGGCATCTTATAGTCGGAAAAATACGGTAACTTTAAAAGCAACATTTTCCTCTAAAAGGACAAACTGCTGTGCTGGATCAGTCTGACCTTTTCGTCCAACATTCTGCTGTCAACAGCTATCCCTGGCATGCTTCTTCACTTTGTTTTCTGTGGGAATTTCCTGAATGATTCTCACAGCTCACCATCTTCGCCATCTGCGGCATGTGAAGCCAGTCCGGGATGCTCCTGTACACCTACCTTCTATACACCTAAACTTCAATATCATTTCAAAGCCCAGGTGTGCTACTCTGATGCCTCCCATTTACGTCACAATGGGACACTATTCTCAGGCCAGAAGCCTCGCACTGTTCAGGTGGTACTGTTTGCAAGTTATCATTCACAAGCCCAGCAAGAAAGGTTGCGTGGTAGATAAGGTGTGAACCTGGTCACCCGGGCAGATGAATTTCTTTGGGATAGGGACAAGGAGAGGGCGATCCTATTACTTGTTATATATTCTTAGTCACCCATAAGGTGGATGCTAAGCACTTTTTGCCTGCTCCCTCCAAAGGTAAGGTCTTGAATCAGGTCTTGCCCTGAAGCCAAGATTAATTTGACCAAACTTTGGAGGAAAAGGCTACCCCTCCCCGAGGGTGGTACCCCAGTGAAAACCAACTCCTCACCCATTAGGCCAGAAAAAACGGGATACTTTTTACAGTATTAACTGCCATGTGGGCAGGGCCAATTGTTGTGTCTATGAGTGTGTGCACACACATAGCAAAGAGAACGTGTGGAATGTGTGGGTGGATGCATGTAGGTAAGTTCTGCATGATTCTTTTGCCCCAGTCATGTCTGGCATGCAGCTCTCACATGTTACCAATGGGAGAATATGACCATGGGGATGAAACAAATGAAGCCAACAGGACTAGATGATTTCATCCACCAGGACAATTTTTCATGTTCTGAAACAGAAGAGTAGCCCAGTGCCTAAGAAGTCAGAGAATTCACAGCACTGGAGCAACTGTGGGAAAATATCTGTGCCAAGCTACAAGGCAGGAGAGCTGAGCAGGAGCAGTGCTGGGAAGGAAATGCATAGCCTATAATTTCGTAAACACTGACATATTTTTTTCGTAAGTTGTAGGACTTTTTTTGGATCAGGCTGCATAAAATTATGTACTTTTCATGTCATATGAGAAAACAGGAAATTATATTTTAAAAAGAAAGAAGGGTGGAGAGAAAAACTCTGAAAAGCAAGTATTTTTGTTGAGGGTTTGTGATAAGGATACACCCACTCCAGTTTTAATTTCTCAGGAGGCAGCTCTGCCTTGATTTCGTAATATTTGTCTACGTCGGAAGGAAGAAACATTGTGATGGGTCGTCCCCGCATGAACATCTTGATGTACTCTCCTTCTGTCAAAACAAAAGTTGCAAACAGAATGTAACAGGGTCTGTAGAGAACGGCATGTTGACAATACATTCCATTTTGAGGCTACAAGTGTCATGCAGACCCAGACTTTTAGAACAAAATGCACAACTGGTACTGCACACAGTGAGTGCCGAGGCACTTTGGCTCAGATTCTCCTCTGCTCAGAGCAGCCTGTCCTTTTTTCTAGCTTGGCCACCCACTTGAGGCATAATTCCTGCTATAATATCAAACTAAGTGCTGAATAAATGCAATTCACTCCTTTCTATGGGCTGCTCCTTCCCACTCATCTGTTCGCATAAGCCTCTGTGACCACACTAGAGGTGGGGAACCTCTTTCAACTCAAGGGCCAAATTCAACTGCACAGAACATTAATGTTCCCTTCCTACCAATACTGAAGCCTCATGGTGTTTACTAGCCTTTCGGAATGAGAGGAAGCTATGGTGATTGGTGCTTGGGGGAAAGAGTGTGGCCATTTGGAGGACCAAAGAAGGAGGATTTCGTTCTGGGCCTGAAGTCCCCCACTCCAGGGCCATCACAAAAATGCTAAATGATGTGAGCCAAATCATGAAAATAGGGTTAGAGTTCTGCTCCTGACAAGTCAAAAGCAGAAAAAAGTAGGTGAGCCGAACACCAACAAGTGCTACTCATGTTTAGAAACCAGGAAAACACTAAATGATATGCTCTGCAAAACCAAACCATTTAGGTTCCTATCATGGTCCCCACTGGCAGATCAGCAAAGGGGAAAGTTTCAATGTTTCAGAGAGCTCTGACCTCAGAGTTGTGGATCTGTGCTCCAATCCACCCCCCTGCAGCTGGCACAGAAAGACCTTAGTCAACCGTGTCTATGAGCGTGTAAGAACAACCTCAGAGAAGTGATTTAAGGGCATTCTGGGGTATGGATGGAAGGATACCAATTCTGCCAGGATACGAAGTCTCTTTCTCTCCCTGGCCAAAGCATTTCTGCCCAGACAGATGAAATCGGCCATAAGAACTTAAGAAAAGGCTTGCTGGATCAGACCAAAGGTCTGTCTAGTCCAGCACTCCATACACAGGGTGGCAAACCAGCTGCCAATCGTCATCTGGTTGATTGCAAGTGGGAGGAGTGTAGAGGCAAAGATTGCTTCCATGCACCTTCTGCTTCTGCCCTTAATCCTCCGAGCTTGGAGGCACAATCTCAAAGGTGACGTTCCTTTTTATGAATGTCTAAGGTAGCACCCACTCTCTGCAGTCTTCAGGGTTAGAGGGTTAGAGGGAAAGCAAACCATAGAAAAAACTACTTTTGCTACTGAATAATTCACTGAATACAGAGTTGCTGCTACTGGGATTGCATAAAGCAGATATGCAAATAAGCAATTTATTCGTTCTCCAAATGGTGAGAATTTTTTGAAGCAACTAAGCAAGGAGGATGTTGCAAATTGGGCTGAGACCTCACAATAGGCCACAACTGCCAAACACCTTGCCAGGTGGATAGATCAGTTAGCATTTGCTGGGGTGGGGTGGGGGAATGCAATGGCAACCTTGAAGGACTTAATATGCAAATCCGCTATAACTCCAAGACAGGAACAAAGTTGAAATACCCAGAAGCTATGTGATTTTGCAAAGCTTTCGTAAAGCAGCAGGTCTTCGGATCCACAGGTGCTCTTCCAAGAAGATTACTTCTGCTTGTGCAAAGAGCCCCTCTTCATTTCTGCCGATGCCACTTGCCTGCCATACCCCCTGCTCAAAATCCAGCACTGTCCCAGAAGGTCTCATATTTCTTAAGAACAACTTAGGAGCAAAGTGGGGAAGAACAGGGGAAACCAGTGGGAAGATGGGGCAGGGAGACCCCAGTGTGCCAAGTCAAGAAGTTTAGAAAAGGCAATTTTGAAAACAGAAATTGGAGAATACACTTTCCGTAACATGGTGGCTTAGGGCCAGAAAAAGAACGAGAGGCGGCACTGCGTTGCTGGCGCATGGCTGGACCACTTTTGGGTGCTCTGTGGGAGGCAATGACACCTACGTGCAAGCCCTCGGGGTGCCCACTCCTGCATCAGCAGTTGTCACTAGGAGAACAACTAGTGCAACTAGCACCAGCAACACTTTGTGTAATGGTGAAAGTGCTTGTGAAAGTGTTTCAAACGCTTTGGCATCCGTGAATATGACTCTCCATATCTTGAAAAGAAGGGAGTCAATGTCTGAAAAACAGCAACAGGATAAAAACGCTTTTCATGTGCATTAAAAAATGCAGTCTGAACCGAGACAACTGTATTTCCAGAGACTATAATTAAATTGCCATTTACTCCATTTTCATCCCTCGAACACTGGCTATCCAAAAAGTGTATTGAGAAAGTAAAGTACAAGCTAAGATTGTCTTCCAGCAGGCACCTTGTTTGCCTGCCTGCCTGCCTGTGAGAAGCAACCAGTTTTGAAGGCTGCCAATGTTGTCCTTAGGAAAGAACAGAGAACTCCTAAGAGAACTCAGCGGCGTCATGAGAGAAACTGGAGGTTAAAGCATGGTGCCTGTGTGGAAGTTAAGGTTATAAATAGCGCTGATACAGATACCAAGCATCTCTTGTGTTTCCTCACCCTGAAGAAATAACAATGGGGGGAAAAGAATACCAGCAATGTTTTCTTCTGGTACGCTATGCAAACTTCAGAGAACTCTCTGAATCCATTTTTCAGACATTTTGATTAAAATACCTGTGTAAATAAATTCTGACTAAGTTGTCCAGGGAGGGAGGGAGGGAGGGAGGGGAAACCTCTCACTCCTATCCTTGCTGCTTCTGCTTCTTCATTTTTTCTTCTTTTGGTTTTTGGAAATCCAACACTATAAAATGTTCTCTTTGGTACAGAAGCCCACAGGGCAATTCTAGCATTAATGCAAAACTCTTTTGAAAGTTCTGCAGATAATGGGCAGCATATCAACAAAAGCATTTTCAAACAGAAGATAGTTGCCCTGGGCAAAACTCCTGTAAATACAAGCTAAGAGAAACAGCCGTGTTAACTCCCTTTTAATTTATATTAGCTTAATTACTGTGTTCCAGAACATCAAACTCAGCTTTATTGAATCTCTCCCAAACCGTTTAACAGTTTTTCAGGATACAAACAGATGAGATATTTCATGTGTACCTCAAACATCCTATATCCTCTTGGCTCTTTGCAGTTTTGAGTCCCATAAGAAAAAGTCATTTCTCAGAACAAATGGGAGTACAATTTTTTTTATTAAAGTCCACCAAAAAGCTTAAGAGGAAGGTGAAATGAATAGTTGTGACAAAATATCATCACCCATTTGGTAAAAGTCACAACACCAATATTTCTAATAAGTACTAGCACATTTAAGCTTTCAAAGAGATCCTCAGACAGGCACGCTGTATGGCAAGACTGCACTTATTATAGGATGCTGGAAAAGTAGGCTTTTTATATACATGTCCCCAGCACTCTTCTTCACATGAATACATTACACAGACTGTTTCTATTGATCCTGCCTACCAAAGTGTTTTTAAGCCAACAGTTTAAGTGGAGCAATACAATGAAAACATTTGCATTTTCTTTGCAATATATGGCAGGCAAAACATCTGAAATTTATCATGACACCTTAAAGTGATGATTTGACTATTGTGCAGCGACAGCTTGCAAAGGTCCGCTTGTTGTACTTCAGCACAGAACCAGCATCAAAGGTAGGCTGGCCCTTGCAAAGCAGCCCCTTCCAAAAGGGGGGCCACTGCTGCAAAGAGCCACTTCTACCTCACTGCTTGCCTGCCTCTTGCTAGGGCTCAGAAAAAGGATAGCAGTGAGAAGGAGGAAGCTACATGACACTTCCTGCTTGTGCACTGGCTCTTTGCCTATCAGGCAAGTAATGGCTAGCAATGATGAGAAAATGGATGGCTCAGAATATGGTCTGAAGGCACGTAAGGCATCTACCATGCTGAAGCTAAGCAGGGCTTGGGCTGGCCCGAGCTTGGAGGGGAGACCACCTGGGAACCATCTTGAGCTCCACAGTGAGAGAAAGGTGGGAGAGAGAGGGAGGGAGGGAGGAGAAAGAAAAGGAAGTGGGGGAGGAGCAGTTGAGCAGTGTGGTGATGAAAGCCACTTCCACTGAGCAAGGGGACCTATTGCATAGAAATGTTCTAATAATAATAAAATAATAATAATAATTGCAGGTGTCTTGCCAAGGGCTCTTGCAGATCCTGGAACAAGCACTGGTTTAGTACTGCCACCACTGTTAACTTGAATAGTATGTCATCATACTCTTGGGCATCATAAGTCATGCACTCAGGCCGCTGTCAGGAACAAGCACTCATGCTATACAAAAGTAAAAGGTGGGACCGGCTCGAAGAACAGCTGGGCCGGTGGTGTGGAGCCACTGCACAAAGGCACAGAAACAGTCTTGGCAGGATTAAGGTCACACTTAGTGTCACTTCCACTGGCCCAAGGGAAGACGTCCACGGCTAGCATGTTGATGCACCTGTCTGCTTTTCTCATTGGATGATTTGTGCTTTTATAGCAGTACTCTACTGTTCGGCAGCCTTCTGTCTCTTAGGCTTTCCTTCTAAAGCAGTAACACTTAGGTCTCCTAAATCCCTGGTAGCCACTCAGGGTAGAAACAGCAAATGCAACCCATCAGCTGGCAGGAGGTGATGGGAGCTGTGGTCCAGCACACTGAGAGAGGACCAGGTTGAGGAAGGCTGCCCATCTGGATGCCAATCTTCTCATCAAAGCCACTGACTGCCCAGCTGCTTCCTTCATGCATTTTTAAAGATTATACAAATGTAACATCTGTACCGGCACATAGTGCTCATTTTAGAGTTCCTTAAGAGCTATTTCACATTTGCAGGTAAAGTGCAAGATGTCAAGAAAGCCCTTCTCCCAGGGTCCCTTGTTAGTTGTAAGCATAAAATATCCCCCAGAACAGTATGTGCCGCATACAAAGCGCATTAAGAACGAACCAGCCTTAGGGAGGGGGTGTCCCCGCCATCTCATGAATGCAAATCAGGCTCTTAAACAGGTAATCTGGTGTATCATTCCCACCATTACTGCTAAAGGCATCTGCGTGTAAAGACCTGCTGCCCCTGGCAAAGGCAAAGCTGCACTTCACGTGCAGCCAAGTTAAAAGCAAAGTCCTTAAAATAGGTACTGGCACATAGCCTCATCCTTGAGCTAGAGCCAGACATGGGAGAACATTTATTAAACAGCTAGAACAGATCCTGAAAGTCACGGCATGTTGTTGATGTTAGTTTCAAGGATTTTGTACGCTTTTTAAAAAATGCACGTATGCTGGCCTGTGGCTCTTGCAAGACTTAACACCGTTTAAAGGCAGAATAAAAAGGAAGGGTGAAGGAAGGATGGCCTTGAGGGTAACAAATGGAGCAGACAGCACCACCTTGGAGGAAAAGGTACATTTGCGGGTTCACAACGGCCTGCACTGCATTTGCGCTGTTTTTGTGTCTTTGTTTCAGATTGCATTGCCATTTTACACGGCAACTTCATTTTTGCTTGTGGCTATCCACTTTGAATGCTTTTGGTATATGCTTAAATATATAAATCAGTTGGAAAGCATCCCAAAAAAAACAAGGAGGAGATCGGAGCAGCCAGAAGAAGAAGGCTTTGGACTGGCATAATGTGAAGGGAGCAGGAAGCCCCAGCAAGCTATACATCCTGTCTGTACAACTGTGTGACACTGAACTCCTGCATCTTCCCTTGCAATCAAGTTGTGCGAAGCTGTATGCAGTAAACATAAGTGTAAGCCACCCAAAATACAGTAACGTTGTTACAGATTGTTAATCTGCATTGACCTATATTACATCAAAAAGGCTTGCAAAGCATTCCAGATGACTGTCATCAGATACATGAATATTATCCTTAGCCAGCAGACAAACACATAGAGACGGGCATTGTGTGTGTGAACAGCAGGGTAAATGGTCATGAAATAGAGGACATCATTATTTGTGATAAACCAGTGAAAGCTTCAGTGTGTGAAAAATCCACAGGGACTGTCACAACAGCTAGAACTGGTCATAAACACAGTTGTTCCAGTACTGATAAGTTGATTAGCAGCTGTAATGAGAGAGGAAATCCTTATCCTAATTCAAGCCTAAAAAAGAGAGTCAAACTTCTTGATAAATTCTAATTCAATTGCTTTGCATTGGAGTCTCCCTTTGAAACTCATTTTTGGGAGAAACTCAATTTTAGGAGAACAGCAACTTTCAGGTTGGCAGGAGATGGCTGACCTGAGGGACTGAGTCCTCTCATTATCTTTTATTGCACATATCTGGATACAAAAATAGGCTCTGGGTTTTTGTTATTGGGGACAAGCCAAAGTAATCTTCCGATTCAGACTCTACAGCATCCATCTTTCCAGAAGGCACTGGAACCTTTCACGTCTGCTTTTGGCAAACTGCAGTTATTCTTACCCATGATTTACTACAACAAGCCAACTTTGAATCTTAGTTTATGCGGATGCTTGTTTCAATAAACCACAGTTAAGGTTAACTATAGTTCCAAGTTAGGATGTAACATAAAAGTGCTTTTAATTGAAGAAAGGATGTGATAGCTTCCAATCTCCTCAATGAGGGAGGGAGAAGGATGCAATCCAGAATTCCCCAAGCATGTTCCCATAAGGATAGGTCATTACTTATTATTTCTATATCCAAACACAGCCTATGCAACAGTCCATGCATCTGATGAAATGAACTTTAATCAGCTGTATACTTGTGTTTGTCTTTAAGGTGCCACAAGCAGGCAGGTGCGCACCAGTCAGAGCTGTTTTTCAGACCTGAGTGACTGATATACAACTGGATCCAAAATTGTTTGGCAACTACGCGTTCATATATTAAAATGCCTGATGAGCAATAAAAACTGATAAGACTACCATAAAAGGTTCTAAGAGAGAATAAATGCCAGCGGGGAAAAATACACGCCCAGAGCCTAGCAATTTAACTAAACATATCCTTTCTTTCTGGACATTTTGCCTTTGTAAACTTTTTCAGTTGTTGTAAGACAATAATAGTAGACCCAAAGAGAGGACCAGGAAAATGTAGGTTGTTAAGGTTTGTTACCTGCTGCAGGGGATCCCACCACATGCGAACGCAACAGAAGCTACGTTGATGGCCTACAGTGCACAGGAACACTCCCCTTCAACATGCTCGCAGGACCTACCATTTGAGCAGTGGGGCTCTGGAGGGACCTTCTAAAAATAACCCCAGAAGCCAGCAGAAATCTTGTTCAGATTAGGACAAGTCAGTGGAGCTCCCTTCTGCAAGTTCTGTTGACCTGTTCTCTTTTTTTAAAAACAAGAGCTTCCAGTTGCTAGTTTAGAAATGCCAAGGCCTGTTAAATGAGCAGTGGCTCCCACAAGCACATGGGCACCACACACACTACCCAGTGCACTGAAGAGAAGCAAGGAAATAAATAAGGGCTACTGGCACAGGGCAGAACTGTGATTTGAGCCATATAGTACAGAGAAGATATGCCCACATGTTCTGCCACGGGTAATTCTGCAGACTGGAGATCTATGACAGCATGAAGAATGGGATTTCTTTCTGTGCTCAAAGCCTGCAGTAGCAATGCAGTCGCTATACACACACCATAAACTTGAGCTAACATGCTTGAGGTTTCCACCTTCATGCTTCAATGGTGTCTGCCAATGTCCATCAGTCATTCTCAATATGGAACAATCATTTTTAGCTGACAGTAAGTGTACTTACATTCTATGATACCTTGACAGTATTGTTTTTTCCTCTTTCAGCAAACAGCCACATACAATTTATTGACACAAACAAACTTTACTCTTCTTCTAAAGGGTATCATAAAATGTCATTTTTAAAAGCCTTTCATTTCTGTTTTCAGTTATATGCTGAATGATGGGCAACCCAGAATACTGAGAACAAAAGTGGTATTTTAGCAGGCATTTCAAGACACTGTTAGAAGACCCAGGCAATGTTTCACATAATAGGTGCATTGTGTCCATTCGCAGAAAGGAGAAAAACAACTACTTAACAATTAACACTTGAGATTTTGCGGGAAAGATGTGTCACACTTCTTGAGTATAATACTGTTTTACTTTGGTTAAAAATACAAAAATGAACATGCATTAAGGTTGAATAGGTTGATTCTATGCACTTCAGAAGAATAAAGAACCAAATGATTGGTTTTGTTTTAGATCATTTGACTAGAAAGCAACCAGTTGGCATAGCTTTAATCTTGACCTTGCCTATTCTTTGTTCAGGCTGACATTTTTGCTAGTTATGGGACAGAAATAAAGCACCATACAGGTGTTTTCTGTCCTGGGTGAAGCCCACCACTTCAAACCCAATCAAGTATTTGGAAATAGTAAATATGTATATGGGAAGCAAACTTAGCAATTTTAAAAAATCAGAAATCTATGAATACATGAATGTATATCCATGCGGCTGCTGAACAGATTTCAGTATTCTGTGTCTGGTAGGATTTCAGCCTACTCCAAAACTCCAAATAAGCACTGTGTGCTCCTCAGAGTGCTTGTGCACATGAGCACCCCCAATGGGTTTTTCTTTTTGCGGGGGGGGGGGAGCTTATTACATTTATATGCCACCTTTCCTCCATCATGGAACTGAAGATGGTGGCATCTGTTTCCCAGGTGATCTCCCCATTATGCTCAGGCCAGCCCCAGTCCTGCTTAGCTGCAACACGGTAGATGCTTTATGTTCATTTAACTACTCCGGGCCAGTAATTTAAAAGGTGGAGAGAGATTCAAACTCGCAATGGAGGTGCATGCAAAGTTGCACCCCCAAAGTCATGAATGGGGAAGCTCACATTTGCTTTTAGAAACTGATGCCCATTTCCTGTTTATAAACCTGAAGCCAATAAAAATAATTCTAGCCATGACGTATATTCTGAAGAAATTTCTAACTATTGTATGAAACATATTTAATTCACAAGATGAATTGATTATAGTCATATAAATTGGTTACAGGAATACATTTATTAATCTTAATTACCAAAACTAACACTATAGCCCTGAATAAAATCTATTGAAAAACAAGTATTTCCAATTACCTTGGTTGACAATGACATCTTTGTGTCTAGGGAAAGAAAAGCAAGTTATTATTAATATATATAAATGCTACCTTTAACCACCTAGATCTTTAGGTGCAGAGGTACTGATAACAAAAATATACTATAAACTAAAACACTATGTAAGATAATTGATATCCATTAAAATAATTTTCTGTTCAAACCCACTTTGTAAGCTCTATATATATCTTTTGATTTTTAAAAGCAACTTGGCTTGATAGTAAATCTGAGTCTAGTCTAGAGAAAAAAAATCTTGTTTTCCTTCCACCCCTCGCCCCCGCTCTTCATTCCTTTTCTTTTCCCTTTTTAAATAGCTCCAACACAGAAAGGGACTTTCCCCCAGTGGTTTGAACTGCACTCTTAAAGAGAAGGCAGCTGTTCTTATGTGCTGGCGCATCACTTGTGCATGAACCATTAACTGAGTTTTGGACTAGAGTGAAAGGCTGCACAATTATATAAGACAACATCTAACATGTTGTAAAGGAACATCTGCTTTTTCTTCCACCCTCCTCTTTCTGCACCCTGAAATCCTTCTCTGAGTGCACCCTCTGCAGAAAATTTAATGGATATGGGGGATCACCGGGGTGGGGGGTGGGGAGTCCATTCCGCCAATGGTACCCATCCCTGTGGCAGACAGACTGTTAGATTTTACCCCTAGTATGTTTTACAGAGCTTCACTCTTAACAACGGAAACAAACACTGCAGCCCAAACTTGACATAAAGTACTTACTTGTCAGCATTCTTGACATTTTTGGGTATCAGTTTTGATTGAGAAGGTACCCTCGTTGGTTTATTATGACTCTCTTCTGGGATTTCCCCTGCACTATGTGGCTTTTCACTGGGTGATATTTTCTGTACGCTATGAAAAAAAGAGAAACTCTCAGTTCCATTGTTATAACCAGAACTTCTGAGACTACATAAGTATTTGTACTGGAAATGCAACAGATCAAGCAGCAAGAGATGAAAGAAACGCCAGGCCAGGCCATCCTTCAAGCAAATCCAGGCAACCCCAAGAAATAAGTTTTAGGGAAAATGCTCTAACTGGATCTTTGAAGACAGTCAAAAGGGCATCCATTTTTAGAACACTGAAGTGCAATTTTCAAAGATTACTGTAAATCAGAGGTGAGCAGAAGACAGACTAGGATTTCCTCGTCAATCCCAGCAAGGGGATTTGACCCCTACTTATTTAATAATAGGAAAACTGGAAAGCATTGCATCCCAAATTTGGTTTGCTGAAGGATAACAACTGCAGGGAAAGCAGGAATTATCTGCATGTGAAGGGACTTGGAAGCTTGATTCTGATACAGAGTGGCCCTATGTGCAGATGTGCTCTCTTAATTCTTCCCCTATACCCACCAACAGAGGCGATTATTTAAAATCATTATTAACATTATTTAAATTATGTGGCTCCAGCTGGTGGACCTCAGTATCCTAGGAACACAAAACAAAAGCAAAACAAAGCTACAGCAAAACTTGGAGGTCCACTTTCCCCTGGTATGGCACGCAGAGCTGAAATGGGTAACCTTTCTTGTAGAAAGGAGGAACACAGGATACCCCGAGTAGCTGTAAAAAAACCCAAAAAACTACTCCAGGGAAGAATACTAGATAATGAAGTGGGTGCACTGAGTGACTGTGCATGTGGACTAGAAACTTCCGTACTCAAGTCCTATCTCAGCCCCGAGAGAACCAGGGGTGCCTAAAGGCTGCTATAACCAAAGGCCTGTCAAGTCCAACCAGCTGCCTGTGGGAAATGCACACATGGGACATGTTTTCCAACAACCAGTGTACACAGTCATGCCACTGGAGGTGGCATATCAGGACTCATAGCCACCGGTAGCCTTAGCCACCATCCTCCTGCCTCTTAGCTCTCTTTGCCACCCCATCTGCAAGAAAGGGATAGTACTACTGACCTTTTCTCTCAAGGCTGAATTTATGTGACATTCTCACAAATGCTAGACAAAGGTGTGTGCTTTTAAAATTATGCGCTATGCTTTCCCATATTTTGCACCCCATACAAATACTTGGTATGACAACCGGGCGTTTTCATCATTTCGCAAATCATTTGCAGCCCCAAGCTCTGCTATGTATTTTTTAAACAGTTTTCTTGCAGCTTTGCCTGGTCGAGATGGAGGACTGCTACAAGAGAAGGCAAAGGCTTGGTTCACACCACAATTCTGACAGCTGCCCAACAGACAGTCTTGCAACGCATCCAGTTAAAACAGTTCTTGGAAAGACAGTATGTGCAACTGATCAACTGCAAGTTTATTTCCACAAGACCTTCAAAGGCTAGAGGTGGCAGGAGGAGAGAAGAGCAAAGTCAAACATTAAAAAACACACATACATTTCCTTTGCTTAGGCAGTAGCAGATTAATATGGTAACCCAAGAACAAATGTCTTTGTATGTACAGTAAGATGCCAGACAGAACAAAGTCCACTTTAAGATAAGCTTGTACAAGCTAACAGAGAGTTTACGAGAAAAGGTTAAACATGCGTTAGGTAGGTTTGCATCAAATACCACGGTGCTGTTACACAGGAAGCACTTCCATTTACAGAAAACACACAAGCTGAAGGTTATTTTCATCTCTTTTGCCGTGCATCCAGGTGCTGCTAAAGTACCAATGTGAGTGGCTTCCTAGCAGGCATGAACATGCAGAGAGAAAGTCATATTATGGTCACATGTAAAGATTTGCATGTGGGCTTCAATCCAAAGGTGGGCCCCACATTTACGTTCCCTCCATGATGCAGCCTGCTAGGTGCTCAGACCTCAGGAATGTCTTTTCAAAGAACGGCCGGGGCTGCTGTGAGAACGGAAGGACAGGAAAGGCCAGCTGCATGAGTGGAATTCTGCTTGTGTGTCTTAGGACCCCAGCCGTGGTTTCTATGTAGCAAATTCATGATGTTTGAAGCCGCTTTTAAGAATGAATTTCTGGAATTCCTCCCTTTGGCAAGTGTAAATGACACAACCATCTGCTTGTAATTCAATGTCCAATGTGTGCTAAAATACATTGGGCTGAATCCAGGCTAAATGTATTGCACTTAGGCCGCACTGAAATTAATGGGACAAGACAGTCATGACTTAAATCCCACTTGATTTCACTGGGACCTAAGTTTAAAGTAGTCTGGAACCAACCTATGGTTTCAACTCCTGAAAGTACTGGAGGTGAGAGAATGCAAGACTTCGTTAAGCTGACCAGGTATATTTTACAAATAACTGAAAAAGCCATTCCTTGATTGTCATGATCTTGAACAAAATGCTTTACGATCTCTTACTCAGTTAAAATGCACAACCCTGTTTAGTTATTCTAATTTGCTAATGTAGTTGGAACTAAGACTACATTTGTTTCTTAGGGAATTTGAGCTTAATTGGCATTAAGAATAAATGTTAAGGAATTTTTTAAAAATCTGCTGCTACTCTGCGGTAGATCAAAATGTCCAAAAGGGAACCTTCAGCATCTCTAACAGGGTCAGATAGCAGATGAGAAAAGAAAACACTTGCCTGCAAGCAAGCCAAGATCAGAAAAGAACATGATACAAAATATCCAAGACACTAAGGATCAGGCAGGACAGCAAGGGACTGAAATTAAGGACAGCACTACCAAGCAGACTTGTGAATTAAGAGTAAAATGAGCAAGTCGTCACACAGAGGCAAAATGGTTTCTTTACAAAAACTATGAGATGCATTTAGAATTAAATGCAAGTATCTGCAGAATTATACTATAGCAACAGATCTAAACACTGCAGTTGTTGTCATTTAGCTGTAACAGCTATTCCCATGTCTACAGGGAACCATTATGGTACCATGTATGTGGGGTGGGAAAGAAAGGGTTGGATAAGGAGACAGGAGTCCATGCTTCCCCTTGGCTGATGCTAAACTACAATAAGGGTCTACTCATAATCTACATATTTACATCTTGCTGCAAGTCCTTTCCCCAAGACAGGCTAAACTGGTGAGTACGTGAGACAGAACTCCCTCTGAGGAAGGCTAAGTTTGCTCCATCTCTGCTGAGTCTTGTTTTCAATAGTGCTTGAGATTCTTATGGCCTTCTTTAAAGACTGCTTTGTTTCTCTTTAGGTTTGGGTGTGGGGGGTTGTATTATGCATTTTTAATTATACATTGCTTTCTAAATGATTTAGAAATGCTTTAAATTATGGGGATGGAACTTGGTGAAAGTGCCCTGGTGAGGAATTGCTCTCTGGCAAAGAGCAAGGTAAGTTCCCCAAAATTTTAGTGTTGCCATCCCTTTGAGGGGAGGGATGAGTGGATATCTACCAATTCTGAACATATTTTCCATAAAGGTAAGAACATGTAGGCATGCTTTTAATTGGGAATAAAGCGTAGTGTTAGTATTATTGCAACCACTCCTAACTCTTGCACTTGGGTACTTAGGAGACCTTTTGTTCTTGTCTTCTGAGTTCTGCGTGTGTACTGAGTGACTCTGTGCAGAGGGCTGGGGAGAAGGTGAAGGTGATGCTTGAATTTGTGGGCTTTGATCAAGAGAATGCAAGTCCTCTTTATTCTCTGTATGTTCTTGAGGTTTGTCCTTCTTTTTGTCTGTACTGCTGGAAAACAAAGTATAAGAAAGGCATATATAAAAAAATTAAAAACAAACAGATGGAGGGGATAAATAATCACAAAACATTTGCCCTGAAAGAAAAATAATAATAAAGTACACTAGAGTAACTGCTACAGAAACTAAATGGTTACATAATTGTCTGTGCCCAGTTTGCTTTAAAAACTTCCATTTACCTACTAAATAAGTAGCTCCATGAGTTTACACACGCTATACACGATTCCTGTTCTTTCACTCACCTGCAAATCTAGGTTATATGCTGTGCATGTACGTGATCACATGCCATACCCTTTCTGTAAAGAACAGAATTCTTCCTTTCAACATATTTCTAAAGCATTTGATCTGGGGTGGGCTAATGTGGTCCCCCAGATGTTTCAGCCTGCAGGCACGATCATCTGTCATGATGTGCTGGCAGAGAGCTGGCTTGCAGGCCAAAACATCTGGAGGGCCACCAGCTACCGACCCTTGAGAATGTTCCACCTCTAAAATGTACATATTTGGGGCCTTTTAAATCAAGCCTGAAATGCATGGCACATATTTTAAACAAAACTGTAGCTTACATTTCTTAAAACATCAGTGCTGCAGTTAACTTTCAACTTTTTCCAGGATCTCTGACAAGGCAATGTAGTATGGAAAAACAAACTGTAGGAAATGTCTTGCCACGAAAGAAAATAACTATGAAGAATATTATTATGACAGCTGTACTGGCAGCACTTCCGTGCTGGTATTGTGACAGTCTTCACACCAGTTATCCCACAGTGAATCAAATACCGCTTTTCTAGTTGCTTCTTGCATCATTACTTCCTAGATCAGGATTGAGGTTTTCTTTTCCATTATACAAACATTCATATATTGAATAGTATTTATACTAACCCGATGGGCATATAATATTATGATGCTATGATGTGAAGTCACCACCAAGACATAAGGGAAAACTATCTTAAGCCATCATCTTAAATGGCATAGATAAGAGATTTGAAATTATGATGTCTGCATGATAAACACTGTCAGCTCATATTCATCTGCTTTTCTAGACAATCTTTTCTCTAGGTCAAGAATAGAAACGGTTGAAAGGCAGATAATTTGCTTTAATCCCCCTAAAACAATCCTAAGCACAACCTTGTGCAAGTGGGCGCACAGCAGGTTTGCGGGACGGAGCATCTGACACACAGCCAACCTGCAAGCTGCACCACCTCCTCAGCACTATGCCTTCAACGCATCTTGCCATCAGAAATCCAGACCTTGTTGGAAGTAAGAGCTGGAAGGTGTTTTCTTTAAATGCATCAGATCTCAAGCCCCACGGGTACGCTGCTTATTACTCTACTGGAATCGTTAGACACACAACTCCTTTATTCCCATGACAAATGTTCCAATGCAGATGGGGGCAGGGGAGTCACATCCTTGCAGTAAAGAAAGATGAATAGTAAACACTATCACATTAACTGAACGTGCACATTTCAGAATGCGTGCACATACACATCGGGGTCACGGGATCCCGTAGTGCAGGACAGGAAAAGATACAACACTGAGATCAATGCAAGTTGCGATGGGCGTTATGCCAGGGCCTGCTCAAAGAATTCAACTTGTGTTTTTCTGTCCATAAAAATATATATATATTGCTTACTGTAAAAATAGAATATCCTCCAATGTTGAAGGAAACTTGTACAACAGGATGCACTAATCTTAGGAGCTATGAATTAAATTTCACAACCATGAGGAGGAAGAGAAAAAAAAAACCTATTAGATTAATGCAATCCAGCAAGAATTTTATGGATCCTCTGGTAGAGCAAAAACTATAGCAGAATATGAATTAATTAGGAGGTACATCTTAAAAATACACCACTGTCCTCCTTTATTTCAACCAAAAAGGGAACACAGATCTGGAAAACCACAGTATGACCAATTACATACTGCTAGAACAGCCTTCCCCAACCTGGTCCCCTCCAGTTGTTTTGGATGTCAACTTCCATCAACTCCAGTCAGCATGGCTAACAGTCAGGAATCCTGGGAGTTGTAGTTCAAAGCATCTGGTGGGCATCAGCTAGCTGGGGAAGCTGCCTATGCTGCTGATGGTCCTTTGGGAGGTTGCTGTAACTGCTCATATATGTGAGCAACTCTGTTGCATAGCAGACAGGGCATGCTAAGGACAGAGTAGAAATGCTGTAAATAAATACATGATGTGGCTCACAGACTCATATTCTTCCCTCCATCTGTCTGTCTGTCTGTCTGTCTGTCTGTCTGTCTTTTGTTTTACTCTTGTAACTTATGGTTTAACCTTCCTCACCAGGATGTTGTGTTCACACTGGGGAGTAAACACAGATTGCCCCGCCTTGACATCCGGAAAGGAAATGCAAAATACAAATGTGATCAACTGAAAAGAAATAAACCCTAAAAATATATTTATATAATTTATACAAAACACTATATAAAACCTCAGGTAACCAAGAGGCAAGCCAAATGTAGTTTCTCTTCTCAAAGCATCACCAATGCAGCTTGCTTTTAAAAAGTTTTATTTAGACAGGATCAAAAAACAAAATGGCTAGAATTATAGCATCATAATTCTCTAATCCAAACTTGCCCTTTAAAAATACTGCCTTCTAATTCAACCAGATAGCTCAGAATTCCAAGATTTACCCAAAGAGCAACTAGGCATGACAGTCAAGTCATCTCTATGAAGACAGCGAATCATTTCGCTGATAATTTTCCAGATGGCAAATTGCAAGCAGTGCTCTGCTCGCACACCCTGGGTTGGCTTGCTTCCAAAAATCCTGCTTCATAAGCAGAAGTTTTGGTGGGGGCTTGTTCCAACTAAGCCTCCCATGCTCCTGGGGAAGGTCTTGCTGATCCTCTGGAACAAGCTTTCTGGAGTGGAAGGGGCAACTGACGGGGGAAGAAAACAGGTAATTGCTCAGGTGGACCATGTGTCCTACCTTACAGGGCAAAGGCCTTGAAGATACACATTAGCAGGGAAAACCTCAATGACTCAGAGAGCAGTGCCCTGGTCAGTGTCATCCACACCATGATGTTCTTCGACCTAAATTGTATCAAGTATTCTTAAAATTGCATCTATACATATATATTAGCATCTGGAAATTTCATGCAGAATCCCCCAGTCTTTAAGTGAAATATTTGGTTGTAGGCCATTATCTAATAATCAAGAGCAAAATATTCACTCATCTTAAATCTTAATATTTAGTTAAGGCTAGAAAAACTTAAAACAAATTAACAATATTCCACTGCTATCTATCTTAAACACAACTCACCCAATAATATACATTACCATGGTAAATATACCAATGCAATATTTTTTAAAAATAAATACTTTTCAACATGTATCCAAAATCACTTGTAATAAGTCATTTATTTAATCTGAATTATGTTTTTAATATCTAGTAGCATTAAGTGCACTCACTCTCTTTTCACCTAATATATGAATTAAAAGAACAATTATATAAAAATGTTGTTCATGAAATGTTTCTACTCCAATATTTTAATACAAGATGCTAACTCCCATTTTACACATTCTTCTGTTTTCAATCTTCTATATATAGAAATTCAGGTGAATCTAATGATAGTCAAGTGACACAACAAGGATTATGTTCCTTTTTTAAAAAAATGAACAGTTAATTGGTTAGGGCTTTCAGTCAAGAGTATCTCTTACAATAAATGCTTTGAAGGGTTTTGAAAATTCTGCTCCGTCTGCTTTGAAAAATTCAGACTATTTGAACAACACCCAGCCATATTGATAGTCATTTGCCAATTCAGCAAAGGTTACGAAGTAGTTGCTATTACAGCTCTGCTTCTCCCAGCCACTTCATTAGGTTGGATTTATTTCCTACAGACAAAATGGCCCTGATCCAGGGAGCAGGGAAAATGAAAGTGAAGCTTAAGAAGAGTTACCAGGAATTTTAAAAGGTTTTTTAAATAAACATTTTTAAAGGATGGTGGATAAGCAACAATTTGCAAAACACCTTGGCCAGTCTTCAATCCTCTTATTTGTTTTCTTATATGCCTTCTTATTTCCTGATTATAGCAGGGTGTGCATGAAGAAGGGTGTGCGTATACCTTTTAGCAGCAAAGGAGAAAGTTTCTTTCCTGGATCCAGGTGCAGAACTATGGATGTTTTTTCTGCTCCCAGGGCTTCCATTGGGAATACTGGATGTGGAGCCACCACGGAAATGAAGGCCTGGCGGTCCTATGACAAATACAGCAAGAAGATTATTTGAAGCAGTCTTCCAAACAGCCTTCCGACATTTAAATGGAGATGTACTGCATTTGAGATTGGTTTTGATAGAACAACAGCAAAGATAAAACGACTAAACATCTGGTATGTGCATAGTTGGTTTGTCAGTCAACAACTGCACTTGAGCAGAATCCAAGGAAAAGAGCCCGTTGAAGTATTTTTTTTAATTCAATAAATCATCATTTGGAATAACAGTTATAATGTGCAATGATTTATTTTGAAGGGGGGAGTGTTTTTCCTTAATGCAGAATAAAAAATGACTTCTTTGGAAGCTTAACATTTGTCCTATGCGATACAATCTGAAAATATCATAGAACAAAAATAAAAATAGACACGTCACTGACATACCGGAAGTATTAAAACACCCCACACCCACAAATCCTGGAACACAATAATATTTGTAAATCAGCTAAGTAAATAACTTGTTGATCACATCCTAGCATGCATGTGTTGCTGAGTAAATTCCTGATATGGAGAACTTAACATTCGAAGTTTTTTCAACCTCTGAAGATTACAAATTGAAAGAAATCAAACAACACTGAGTTGCCAGATAACCTTGATCACATATTATCTTAATATTATTTTAAAGACTACCCCTTACTCTAGGATTATCAGTGGCCAACAGATGCCTATTGATTTGGGCAGCTGCATCCGAGTCTATAAATTAAACCACTGACTTTTAGAGTGGACCAAAACACATCTTTTACAGAATTCCCTCCATGGAAGATGGAAGGCATCATTTTCTACAGCAAAGATGTCAACTCTCTGCCTCCTGGAAATTATGCTAGCGACCTCTTTTGCAAAGCGCTCTTTGTAGCTTTTGTCCACCAGATGGCTCTTATTTCTCCAGCTGCAGCATGAGCTGAGCCACCATCTATCCCATTGTTTTTCTGCTAAGCACCTCAACAGGATAGTACACATAAGACAACATATTCTTAACAATGAATACATAGGATGGTACATCAGGCACTGGAGTTTTCTCTATTTAATTGCACTGAGTGTGCAACTCTTTACTTAAGGTGATGACATGATCAAAGGTAGGGCAAAGGCATCTTAAACAGTAGGCTCTAGAGAAACATTATGAAGATAATTCAATAGCACTGATGTGCATACAGAAACAACAGTTCATCTGGAGCTCAGCAGACCCACTGACCTTCAGTGTTCCTTCTACACCTTGCGTTTTAAGGAAACTTTTGGCTATGCACCATTATTAACAGAATGGGTCTGCAGATCCTTCCCACTAAGAAATGACATCTGGGTTTTTTCATTTGCCCTTGAACTGTAGCTGAACTTCCCTTCATTCTGTTTTATCATAATAGATCAATACCTCAGTGGCTGCCATCAAAGCAATTACATGGAGTCATGAATGGAAGGGACGCCACTAATTTTCCTGTCAGGCATTAAAAGAATTCCATCGACAAGGAGCTTTTACATTTCATGTGAAAATATATACATTTTGAGCTGAGATAGGTAGGCAGACATTTATCAGAGGACAATAAAGGAATAGAATTTGTTTTGACAATTAGAAGAAATTGGGTAGCGGAGAAAAATTCCAACTTTTCCTGCTTCATGTATACTTAAGATTGTTAGCATTCTCATCAACTGAAGAAAAATGCTAGACAAAATTAAGTTCAGAATGAAAAACTGACCTAGATAATGCATATCACAGGTAATAACATATTTTTTCTATTCATTTCAAACATTTCAACCCAATTCTCATTCCAACAACCCTAAAGGAGGTGCATTAATGTTTAAATGGTAGCACAGTAAATTTTCCCAGTGTCCAAAAACCAGATAGTTTCCAGCCATGACAAGGCCCTATTATTGTTAGCTGGTTATGAAGATCCCTCCCCCAGTCAATCTGTAGAGAAGGGCTGTTTTTGCTGTGAGAACAAAGATGATTCCTTTACTCCAACTGTATCCCAAGAAGTGGGGTTAGAACCTGAATGCATATGGAAAAAGGAGAAGAGAGGAAGTTGAAGTCCATAGCAAAAGGGGTTGTCTTTTGTTCTTGCTTTGGGGAAAGACACTGACATGACAACTGGGCAAGGAACATGGTGCATTCCCTGGCCTATTCAGGGAATCAGGGTGGACAGCTTTCTTTTGCTTGTTTATATTTTGCATTTGTATTCATCACTGTATTTAATCTAAGATGAGAGACAATGATCCCAAGGAATGATACAGAAGGTTAACAATTCTAAATGTCATAAAAGAAGCAGTACTATCAAAAACAAATATTAATAACAGCAACACAGCAACAACAACAATGAAATACTAGCTATAAGAACAAACCAAGAGAACATAAATCAATTTATCCCCAAGTTCAAAAGCCAAATGAAGAACTGAAGTCCTGCTTTTGCTTTTTGAAAGGAGGACCCCTCTGGGTCGGATATTCCACAGCCTTGGTGCAGCAACTGAAAAGGTCAAATTGCCTACTTATCTGCCATTGTTCAGATGACACTGAGCAAGGTTTCTCCTGTGTTGATTTGAAAGCACAGGGAGATGTGTTTATAAGGATGCAGTCCTGAAGATAACCTGACTTAGACTGAGCAGGACCTTAAAAGTAGGCTGAAGTGGTCTCAGAAACAAAGGAACTGAAATGCTGCCTGGATAAGGGTCAATAAACTATTGGATATATCCAGTGCTTTTTTTGTAAAAAAAAAAAAAAAAAAGTACCGGAACCCGCCCCCCCCCGGGCAGAAAGCACTCAGCACGCGACCACACATACCAATCCCAAACCGAGCAGCATCCCAAGCCAGGCGGCGCGGACACAAAAGCAGCCCGCAGGCACTATGTTAATGATGTTTGCTGCTGACCTGCTATGCTGACAGGTGACTCAAAATCACTTCATTTTTTCCATTGGAAAAAAAGGTGCCGGAACACTGTTCCGGTGCGTTCTATGACAAAAAAAGCCCTCGTATGCAACTGTTGCTTGGAACCAGAAAAATGAGTTAACTTGTTTTGGATAAGCTTGTACTCCAACCTGGTCACGAGAGGCCCAAACACTGGTAGCACGGAGTGCCTTTTACTAGCTCGAGCAGGGTCAACTGTTTGCAGTCATTCCTATACACAGATGGTTTTTCCCTGGCAGTCCATGCCCTGGTTGGATTATAGTGATGCACTGTATATGGGACTGGTACAGAACATGGCCAATGGACCCTTGCCCAGTACAGTCAGGGGTTTGACTATCAGACCATCTTAAAAAGAACTCAGTTGGCTGCCTACTTATTCCTGGATCAAATTCAAGGAGCCGGTTCTGGTCTCAAAAGCCAATGGTGTGGGACTCAAAGGAGATCCTCTTATAATACCCTGACTGTGCTTTTAAGACCTTGTGCTGAAGCCCTTCTCCAGATGTCTAACAGAAGTATGTTATTGTACTTGCAATGTATAGCTGTGAAAGTTGGACCATAAGGAAGGCTGAGCGCCGAAGAACTGAGGCATTTGAATTGTGGTGCTGGAGGAGACTCCTGTGAGTCCCCTGGACTGCAAGGCGATCAAACTGGTCAGTCCTAGAGGAGATCAACCCTGACTGCTCTTTAGAAGACCAGATCCTGAAGATGAAGCTCAAATACTTTGGCCACCTAATGAGAAGGAAGGACTCCCTGGAGAAGAGCCTAATGCTGGGAACAATAGATGGCAAAAGAAGGGGACGGCAGAGAATGAGGTGGCTAGATGGAGTCACTGAAGCAGTTGGCATGAGCTTGCATGGACTCCGGAGGATAGTGGAGGACAGGAAGGCCTGGAGGAATGTTGTCCATGGGGTTGCAATAGGTCAGACACAACTTTGCGACTAACAACAACAACATGTTATTGTACAAAGAGGAAAGAGTGGCTCCAGTAGTGACATCCTAGCTAGAGAACTCTTTTCCTCAAGTGATCAGTCACTTTGCAATCTTTACAGTGCTAAACCAAACATTTTCCTATTACCAGACATTTTAACTCACTAGAAGATTTAAGACTGTTTTCTGTTGTTTTAAGTTTGGACCAGGCTACAAGTTGTTGTATGCTGCCCTGGAATTGCAAACAAAAGGAAATGTTTTTCAAGAAATAAGATCTACAACCCCTGGGGAAGACACAGCACTGGAATCCAATAATTTGAGTGGCCCACAATCTGGCAGTTGTATTCTGAGAAGACCTTAAGTTTTAAGATCACATTTCCAAGGTATCCTTACATACAATTTGCAACCACAGTCTAACCAGGCTGTTGTGAGACACGAATCACTGTGGGAGGGTAGTGACATTTAAAAGGGATGGGCAGCTTTGGTTAAGAAATGTGGTTTAGCCATTGGTTTTTTAAAAAATTGCAGCAGGTGGGATCCAGTTGTGCCTGTCCACTGATGGCCCAACATCCACCAGCACAGCTGAGTTACCCCTCCACCCTGCAGCCCCTTTGTACCCACCAAGGCTCCTGGCAGGGCTGGGGAACCCTTGAGATTTTGGAAATGCAGAAGGACTGCAAAGGGGTGTGATGATTGGGGAAGAAAGAGAAGGGGCAAGTGTGTATGAATGGAACAGTGCTACATAAGATTTCAACCAGTGTTAATCAAAACACAAATCTTTGGCTGGAGTTTAGTGAGTGCCATCAGAATTCTGCTGGCAGATGAACGGAAAAGCAAGCTGCCACTACTTACAAACTGGGGCATTTAAAATACTTAAGGAAAGGAACAAACTGTTCACCAAAATAGTTCAGTGAACCATTGTTGGCCTTTTTATTGTCTTTCAGAATAATACCCAAACCAGACTAGAATCTTAGAGCAGGGTTGTCAATGGTTTACATTGACAACAATGTAAAACAAGCTATTTTCTTTGTGTGCAGTTCTAAAAAGCATTGTCAATCAACGTTACTTTTTTATACATTTTAACACTCTTTTTACAATAACAATGTTGCAGTTTTTCTCAACTGTGCTTTGAATCTTCCAATATGGTAGACCGTTCCTTTTTTATATCAGCAT